CCCGCCCCCAGGTCACAGCCCTCCCCCAACACAGCCCCCTTTGCCTCCCCAGCCCGGTTTAACTCACCCCTGGCTTGGTAACCCGCCCTGAGCCACCCTCGGCCTCCCAAAACCAGCCTGCTTGGCCCCCTGCATCCTGGGGACAAAGGTCCAGTCCCAAACCCATCCGCTCCCCAGCTTTTGCATTAAAAAACCCCCACGTGCTTCAGAGACACTCCCCCAACTCCCCCCAAAAAGAAACCCCACCCCAAACCCCCCCAGTGTCCAACTGCTGCCCTCAGAGGGCCTGGGGAGCTGCGGGGGCTGTCGGCAGAGGGGAGGGCGCAGTGCCCCAGCCCAAAACCAGGCTCAGTCCCCCCCCAGATCTCCACAGGGAGCTGGCTGCAGAAATACCCAGGGTTTTTTGGACCGAGCGGGTGCTGCCCCCAGCAGCTATTTTGGGGATTCAGGCTGATTTTTTTGGAAGCCCGCAGCACTGCTGCTTTGTGAGGGCTTTTCTGGGGGGAGGCTCCAGTGCCGGAGCAAGCACGGACAGGAGAGGCGAGCCCAGGGACGCTCGAGCTTAAAAGATTAAGGGGTAATGAAAACCCTTGCAGAATTTCCACCCCCTTCCAGCCTCGTGCTGGTCCCCGAGGCTTGGCCAAGCTGGAGAAATGGCGCAAAATCCCCTGGGAATTGGGGCTAAACCCGTGGGAACTGAGACGAGGAAGTGTCCTGGGAACATCACAGCTTCCCCGGCAGGCACCACCGGGAGGGACACAGCAATTTTGATTCTTAGGGAAGGGGGAGAAATCACCTTGGGGACAAGGGCAGCTCTCCCTGGGGAGCAGGGAGACTCCCTGGCAGCCAAGCCAGGATCTTGGAAGCGGGGATTTGGGATTAGGGGGACACACACGGTCCCTCTGGGTGGCGCCGGGGGACAAGGGGCTGCTCACCTTCCTGCGCTGCGTTGGGCAGCACCAGGCGGACGTGGAGGGAAGGGGGGGAGAGGCGCAGCTGCCGAGCGTCGCCCTTAGAGGCCGGGTTTTATCCTGGAGACATCGTCAATATTAAACAAATTCCAGGATTGCACACAAAAACCACAGCTAGATTTAAAAAAAAAAAAAAAAAAAAAA